TTCCTCAAGTTTGAACAGTTTAGTTGGATGTGGCTGCACATGAGTGAAATTCCGGCATTCAAGTGAAAATCCAGTATTGGGCAGGGAGATTGCTAATATGATGTCAGCCTGGTCTCTACAGCAAGACTTTGTCTCAGAAAAACCAAACCAACAAAGAAATAAAAGAAGTGGGAATACAGGTCAGTAGTAACCATACATACATACATACATACATACATACACACATACATAAATGTCTAAGGCCAGCCTCAACTACAGAGACTTGAGATTCCTGGATTACATAAAAGCTCATCTCAAAACAAACAAAACAACCAGCCAAGCACACAAAGACAAGCAGAGTCTAAGTTAAACACTGGAAATTCCTCATTCTCCTTTATCATTGGGCATTCCCACACTCCCCAGGAGAGGACCAAATAATTGCTCTGCACTTCTAGACCAGCACTGTCCAATACTAATACAGTAAGGACTGCATGGCAGTTTTAATTTTCTACTACCATATTAAAAAGAAATGGGTGACAGGGCTTGAGAGATGGCTCAGCAGTTAGACATTCTTTTGCCTAATCATGAAGGCCAGCCTGAGCATCCCAGCCCTCACATAAGAAGACACCACCTCAAGAACACCTGATTCCCAGCTCCGAAATGGGGAGAGGGAGCAAAAGGGAATGGTGGTCTTTTGGCTTCCAGTGTACTGAGAAAACCTGAGGTCCAGATCAGGGCCATCCTGACTCAGAGGAATAGGCAGGGAAATAGAAGAGGACATCAGATACCCTCTTCTGGCCTTCATGTGTGTGTACACCCCAGCACAAACACACACTTGCATATCCACAGAGAAATGAAAATTAAAAAAAAAAACTAAAGCCCCCATTTAACATATATTAGTATGTTAAGATGACTGGTGAGCATTCTTAAATACTCAGATGATACATAAGTATAGAACATCAAGGCCAGAGAGATGGCTTAGTGGTTGGGAGTACTTCCTGCCCTTGCAGAGGACCTAGGTTAAGTTCTCAGCACCCACAGGACAACTCATCCCATGTGTCTCCAGTTCCAGAGGATCCATGGCCCTCTTCTGGTGCCTGTGGGCTTATCCATGCACATGGTGCATGTACATATACTCGCTTGCCCTTCCCACTGATATTAATATAAAATTAAAAAACTTTAAAAACAAAATTATTTTAAAAATTAGAGAGCTTTAAACTAAAAGTCATTTTATTTCATCCTGGTTCTCTACAAGGTACTTTGAAGAGTCTGGTGGTTTTTATCCCCCCTCACACACATTTCCATTCTATAGGCATATGCATTAAATATGATGCTACTGAGTTATGATGCTTTGCAAAAATGGATTCCAAGGAACAAGTTATGTGTTATTTTTCACTTACATTTCTTGAATATATTTGAAGTCACACAGTTCCCCCAAAAGTTGTTATTCATTTATTTATTTATTTATTTAGTTAGTTAGTTAGTTAGTTAGTTAGTTAGTTAGTTTTTCAAGACAGGGTTTCTCTGTAGCTTTGGAACCTGTCCTGGACTAGCTCTGTAGACTAGGCTGGTCTCGAACTCACAGAGTTCTACCTGGCTCTGCCTCCCAAGTGCTGGGATCACAGGTGTGTGCCACCACCGCCTGGCTAAAAGTTGTTATTTTTAACAAGTACACATTGTTAAGAAGCAGAGTAAACATGGTGTGACAACTCATTCCCAGAGCAGGGATGTGCAGAATACACCATACATTTTGTACAGGTGCCCTGGCATGGACAGTTCAGTATGCATGCACAGTTCTTTATAAGATGATCATTGTGGCTGGGGATGTAGCTCTATTTGCCAGGTGTGCAAGAAACCCTGGGTTGGATCCTCAGCACAGTAGAACCCATGGGGCATGGCACACACCTGTGATCCCAGCACCAATGGAAAGAAGATTGGAAGTTAATGGTTGTTCAGCCACAAAAGAGTTTAAGACCAGCCTGCATTACATAGTGAGACCCTGTCTCAAAACGAATCAAGAAACACAAACAAAAAATAACAACATCCAAGTCAGAACTGAAATGATTATCCTGTCTTGACTCCATTCGGTAAAGCCTTATGTGATAAATCTTCTGGACCCCTCTCTTTACACAGATGGGTGTGGTGGCAGCATCTTAACATTCAATGATCCAGGCAGTGGTGGCACACACCTTTGATCCCAGTACTCAGGAGGCAGAGGCAGGCAGATCTCTGAGTTCGAGGCCAGCCTGGTCTACAGACTGAGTTCCAGGACAGCCAGGACTACATAGAGAAATCCTGTCTCAAAAAAAAAAAAGACACATCCAAAGAGATGGAGAGATGGCAATGATCCAGTAGAATTCTTACCTCAAAACTCTGTCCTCAGTATCGTTAGGAAGACCATACAAGGTTAGCTAGTTATTTTATAATTTGGTTTTGGGGGCGGGAGATGTGGGGTGGGGGGGAGTGATGAGGACACCCTCTGGAAACTCTTGTTTGAACACAGCACCCTCTCGCGGACAGATGGGAAAGTGCTCACACTGCTTACTCAACACCCACACTCTGGGAGCCTCTATGGACAATTTAGTAACAACTGAAATGTGCATCAGGGTATGGAGAAGCTTGGCTTCAGATGGTTTAAGATCTCTTCTCATTGTGTAGCCTTGGCTGACCTGGAACTCTCTCTGTAATCCTTCTGACATAAAATACAGATCCACCTGCCTCTGCCTCACCAGTGCTGGGATCAAGGTATCTACCACCATATCTTGTATTCCCTAAGCTTTTGGGAGCTGAGATTGTGAGGTAGATTTATTTCTTTCAACTCCCCTATTCTAATATGGAGTACTAGTAAACATGTATTAGAAAGATGTTAGTTGAAGGGCAGACCAGTGGGTACAATAAGAGCAGGTGTCCCTTCTGCTCTTGCTCCAGGGACTCCTGGTTTCTACAGTTGATTCTTCTTTCTGGAGCAGTTTATTCACATGTAAATTGAGAGGGTTGGTCCAGGTGTTAAAGTCCCTCCACTCTCCAGCCATCTCCAAAGCAGCATGGTCCCCAGGCCTAGAGTCACACCTCAAGTGAAGATCTTTGCTGCAGCTTCAGACACAGCCCAGGGGCACATTAGCAATGCTCCCACCCTAGTGATGTTCTCCTCTAGTCTGTTTGTATCAGTGAGTAGATGCTATCTAGTAGGTGGATTGGGGAACTGGAGAGACTCAATTTTCACACAGAACAGGTGAATGTGTGGCCGGGTGATAAGAATGGAATTCTGGGAGAGACTCGTCTTTATCCATCAGCAGCTTTGGAAGTCCATCAGCAGCTAAGATTTGAAGGAGAGACTGTAAGAAGCTGGGGCTCTCCTACCTAACTGGTAAGTACAGTCTTCTGCAGACTCATGCTGGAGAGAAGCAATCAGGATAGTGCTCCTTGGAGTTATGGGATTATATGGGATTGTATGTGGGACATTAGGGCAACGTAACATCCAATAGAGTTATTTGGATTCTTGGAGTTAGATCTTTATTTAAACGGAATAATAAACTTTCATAGATGAGCTGTTTGTTTGTTTGGGTTTTTCAAGACTATTTCTTTTTGCATAGCCTTGGCTGTCCTGGAACTCACTCTATAGATCAGGCTAGCCTCAAACTCACAGAGATCTGCCTCCCTCTACTTCCGGAGTGTTGGGATTAAAGGTATGGGTCACCACTGCCTGGCTCATAGAAGAGTTATTAAAGCCTTCTTGATTAAGGTTAACATGAGAAATAAGAAGAAAGCTGTAGAAAACAGGCTGGTACTCTTGAATTAATCCCTACTTATTTAGGTGGTGTCTATGAGTAACATGTAATGTTATCTAAATAATATGAAAATGGGAACAAGGAGGTGAGAACACAGCTATAACTTCAGTCTTCTTCATTGACTTGTTCGTTTGCAGATTAAGAAAAATTTGTAAGAAATGATTTGTATGAAATGTAAAGAAAAAACAAAGGGCAGCTGTAGGATGGCTCGGTGATAGTGAGTTTGTGTGTCAAGAAGGCATTACTGCCAGGTGGTGGTGGTGCACATGTTTAATCCCAGCAGTAGGGAGGTAGAGTCAGGCAGATCTCTGAGTTTGAGGCCAGCCTGGGCTACAGAATGAGTGCCAGGACAGCCAGGGCCACACAGAGAAACTCTGTGTGTAACCGAAAAAAAAAAAAAAAAAAAAAAGGAAGGGGTCACTGTGTGTGAGGCAGTGAATGTCTGTATGTGCCCTGTCCTCAGCAGAACTCAAAAGGAACAGAATGGTAGGTGCCACATGCTGCCAAGTAGTTTTATTGATAAAAAGCCACAAGGCTGATACTCATGTGGGCTTTAGATTTCTAAAATTTATCTATTAATTAACAGCTTTTAGATTTTTCTCACCCAAAATAGTCTTAGTGTTTGGCCAGCCATTTGCAGCATTAGGGGTCCTGATCCCCTTCCAAATACAGAGGCTGTTAGTGTGAGTCGTGTGGGTCCCAGGCCTGAGGATGCTGAGCCATCCCATCACAGGTGTTCTCATGACATCTGTCACTGGCCTCAGAGACTAGAAAAGGCTGTCCATTTCCTCTCTGAGAGGAGGTCCTGGGATGTCTGAACAGAAGTGAAGGTCATAAAGTACTAGTGGGCTTACTTCTTTCTATTCTTACGGCTTAGCAATTAAAAAGCAAAAGTTGAAATCTAGAAGTTAGAATTGGAATGCATAGAGCATCCTCTATAAATGGTCATTTATAAAAGCAGCTGCCTTGGGGATTCTGTGAGGATTAGGTACCTGTGAGTAAACAGCCCAGCATCTCCTTCACAGCAGATTCTCCGAAAAGCTGAGCAAACACTGCTGCTATTTTATCTAGAAGAAAAGCTAGGCATGGCGGGGCTCTGTGAATGGAAGGTTTGGATTTGTACCCAGTGCTTTTCAGGGTGTCTCTAGACATCCCTCCGGAACACGCGGCCTCAGTCACTGTGAGGGGCAGCATGAGTGATCCTTTGCTTTCTTGTTCATTCCATCTCACCAGTGAAGAACTTGGATGAGGCTTAGGGACCAACCATTGTGGCCACTGAGCAGAAACAGCCCCATGCCCATCAGAGGGCAAGCTCCTCTTCGCCATCAGAAGGCTGGTGCTCACTCAGGGTTCTACCAGGAAACACATTCTTCTTGTCTCTGCCTTCGGTTTTCTCTGTGTTTGCTGCTTTATTTGTGCCAAGACCAGGAACGAGATTGATGATTATGTGTGGGGATGGATCGGGAAGAAGAGGCTGTTTTGGAGGACAGCTTTCCCTGTCCAAGGCACACAGTCCTCCACCACTGGGAACTTACAGAGCCCTGGGTAGAACCTTTGAATATGGGCTTTCTTGGCCCAGGAGAACAGGCTCACATGATTCATGTCATCAGGGGTCAAAGAAAAGTTGCATTCTGAGAATTAAGGCATGACCAGATACCATGTACTGAGTGCCACAGGCAAGTAGAGTAGCTTCTTTTTGTCCTCCAGGTCAACAGCGTGATGCATCCTCAAGTCTTCATTTCAGGCCTCATACTGCTTCTCCCAGGTAAGTGAGTAGGTGAGCTGGGGGAGGGTGTGTGTTGTGGAGATGATTCGATACGACACAGAAAAAATACATTCCTTGGTATTTGTTGATTATGAATTCTGTAGAGAGGAGAGAACCAGGGTAAAATTGGAGTTCTGGAGAAATTATTTATTTGGATGTATTTCAAAGCTGATGGCCAAAAATAAATAAATAAATAAATAAATAAATAAATAAATAAATAAATAAATAATAAAACCACAAGAGCACATGAGGAGTGACTACATGTGCATGCATGTGATAGACTAATAAGGGCTGAGCTCATGTTTCTGATATGTCACCCACTTATAACAAGGGATTCTTACTTGGATTTTCTTAAGGACTGATCCTAAAACCTCACTTCTCATAGAGTTCTAAAATCCTTTCTGAAAATTGATGCTGAAGTATAAAACTTCTGCCTTTAAGTCAATAATGCTGTAAACAAAACCTTGGCTTTGTTATTTGTATAGGAGAGGAGGGTAAGGAGTTGATGGTTCCACTTTGAATATCATAAAGGGGAGGGACAGAGGTGGTTTGGGACAGGGTCTCCTGAACCCTGGTTGTTCTTGAACTCACTAGTTACCCTAGGCTGGCTTTGAACTTCTGACTTTCCTGCTTCCACCTCTCACAGTCTGCTTTTGCAGGTACCCATCAACACACACGGCTTCTAGGACACAGCAGGTTTAAGTTTGAAAACTTAAACTTGAAGTACAGTTTGCAATCCTCTGTCCCAGTTAGCTAAGAGCAGCACTAGTCTTGCCCAGGAAAGAGCTCACCATTTCATTATCTGATACCAAATAGAGACCTCTGAATAGATATACAGGTGTACAGTAACATAGAGATGGAGCAGGTTGTATTTATATAAGTATGTATGTATATATGTATGTATATACACACATATATATATGTATATATGTGTGTGTGTATATATATATATATCCATGTAACAACAATTAGTGATAAAAAGAGGCCATAAGTTTGAAAGAGAGCAAGGAGGGCTGTATGTGAGGGTTTCAAGGGAGGTTGGGAAAGGGGGAAATGACGTAATCATAATCTGATCTTAAAAAGTAAAATAAATAACTTTTAAAAATTAAATTAGAGCTGGTCTCAGTGGCACATGCTTGTAATTCCATCTTTCAGGTATCTGAGGCAGGAGGATAGTCAGTGCGAGCAAGCTTAGGCTACAGAGCAAGACCCTGAGTAAAACGCAAACCAACAGGTCAGGCCTGGTGGGGACTTTAACCCCAACATCCAGAAGGTAGATGCAGGAGAATCTCTAAGAATTTCGGGCTAGCTAGTTTATAAGTGGGTTCTAAGCCTGCCATGGCTACCCAGTGAGCTCTGACTCAAAAAGGAAAATGAAAGAAAAACAAACAATAGTAACCAAAAACAAGAGAGAGAGAGAGAGAGAGAATGAGAGAGAGAGAGAGAACCCCTTCTCTATTTCCCCTTCTTTGCCACAGCTGCTGTAGAATCCTTCCCAGAAGTACATGGAGTGGTGGGTCACCCTGTGACACTGCCGTGTACTTATCCAGTGTCTAACGGACTCTCACCCACGTGTTGGGGCCGATTGGCATGTTTTACTGATAAATGTAAAAATGTTGTTATTTTGACCAATGGATACTACGTCTACTATGAGAGGAACAATCGTTACCACCTAAAGGGGCAGCTTCTTCGAGGAAATGTGTCCTTGACAATAGAGAATGTCACTGAGAATGACAGTGGTCTCTACTGCTGTCGGGTGGAAATGGCAGGATGGAATGGTGTACGGAGACTGACCATCTCACTGCAAGTTCAACCAGGTAAGCGTGCCTTGTTGCCTTGCTTATTTCTTACAAGTGAACCGAGTCTTCTATTTTGCTAATAATTTGTTATTTTCCTAGAACAAGGAAACAAAAGCTCTTATAAACATTTTTGCTACTAAACACTTGCTTTTGTTTTTTGTTTTGAAATGTAATCTCATGTATCTTGATTTCTACAATCTCCTGATCCCCATGCCTCTAGCTCTTTAGTCCTGAGAACACAAATAAGTTTCATCAAACACAGCCTGAATATTTCCTTCTGAGGTACAGAATACCTTTCATGTGCTTGGATCAACCTTAATTCAAAACCATGAGCTAAGCCAGGATCCATGCCCTACCTGTGTACTTGGGACAGTCTTGTTGGTCCATGAAACTGTCTCCACTTTCTGTCCTGAAACCCAGTGGGGAGCTTTATTTAAGCTGAAGTGACTTGAATGAAAGGGACCCCCAGCCTCTGAGTTAATGTCTTGTGACATTAAACCACCTGTCCTTAGCACTGTAAAAGCACAATAGCTCTAACCGGAAAAGCAGGCAACGCAGGGTGCTGCTGTGCAGATGATTTAGACATCCCCCCAGGAAGATGCAGTCCCAGTCACTGTTAGTGGCAGCATAAGTGATCCTTTGCTTTCTTGTTCAGTCCATCTTTCTAGTGAAGAACTTGGCCTAGGGACCAACCGTTGTGGCCACTGAGCAGAAATAGCCCCATGCCCACCAGTTACTGTCTTGCGACATTAAACCACCTGTCCTAAGCACTGTAAAAGCACAACTGCTCTAACCTGAAAAGCAGGCAATGCAGGATGCTGCTGTGCAGATGAGCTGACTTCAACAAGGGTCAGCTGACCTTGCTGAGTGCAGGCCACATCATAGACTGAAAGTTCCACTCCATGTCAGGCCCTGCTTTGGGCTTTTAAAATAGTCCTTACATCACGTCACAAAATTATCCTTTTACATACAAAAATGGCCACATGGGAAAGTGTTTGTCTTCCAACACCTGTTGAGTGGTTACTAGTGAGAAGTTTGTGAAAGCTCTAGGTCTTAAATCATTAGAGTTCCTTTGTGATGTGGACATCCTGATTTTCTTTCAGCTTTTAGTTAAAGGTTGAATTGTGAGGATGTGCCAACTTCTGATGCTATTTCCTAATCCCCTTGACTATAGAAGTTTATGGTAACCTGTCTGCATTCTTTTTCAATTCAGACCATTATCTTGTAATTGTATATATCAACCTTATACTTTGCTTTTTATTTTTTATTTCTTTGACTTATTTATTTATTGCTGATATAGGATCACAGTGTATAGTATGGCTGGTCTGGATGTCCATATGTAGATCAGACTGGCCTCGAACACACAGATCCAACTGCCCCTGCTTTCTGAGTGATGGGATTAAAAGCCTATATTGCCATGTCTAGTTGCATGAAATTATTAAGAGTAGGCTTTAATCAAGCTTAGAAATTCTTTCACAGGTCACTGTTGAAAAGTCTTCTGGCTGGCTGGTCAATGGGTCCATGAGTGACACTCTGCCTTATCCTTTAACAACCAAGTCTATATCTTCTCATGGTTTAAACACACGGAGCTTCCTCTTCAGCGTCCCAGGACCCTCATCAGCTCCTTTGGACTTCCCCATCTACCTGGGAGGAAAAAAATGCCCCAGAGCAAGAAAAGCAAAGGTCTTGAGCTGATGGTTCTTTCCTGGATTTGTTCTCATAGTGACCTTCTGACTAGATTTTTCACAGGCTTGCTTTTCTCTCCACCTCAGAGATTTATACTCTCCAGAGAGGGGCTTGGATCATGCTCAAGCATCTGGCTACACATTAGACTGATTCAGCAAACTTTAGCCAGGACTGGATCTGGTTAGGTGACAGACCCACTCACTGGTGTGAAGAGTTTCACTGAAGCACAGCCACAGGACTCATTGCTGTGTTGGAAGCCGTGACTTTCCAACTGGTTGAGGTGCATGCTTGCTAGTCAACAATGTTTTTAGGTTCCCAGGCTGAAAACATTTACTATTTGGCCATTACAAAGAACAAGGGTTAGAGGGTGTTAGAGATGGCTCCATTTCCATGGTAGGAGCACTTGTTACCAAGCTCAATAACCTGAGTTCAAGTCCTGGGACTCACAAGGTAGAAGGAAAAAAACATCTCTCAAGCTGTCCTCTGACCTCTACATATAGGACACACACACACACACACACACACACACACACACACACACACACACACACACAGAGGAAGGCTGACCCTTGCATTTACTGCTTCCCTGCATATTGTAGGTACACACATTTCTTTTCCTTTTTTCAAGGCAAAAGCTATCTAGATTCCAAATTACATTTTATCCTTTAAAGGAAAGCAAGGTCAAGCCAATTGTTCTCAATTCCCAAGGTTTTATTTTGTAGTTAGCAGAGTTAGGATTGGATAAAGCTGCTTATGAGGGAACTTGTCATCTGACAAAAACACTGTGTGCTCCTGCTGGGGTCCTTCACTCAGTATTTCCTTCCAGGCTCCCGTTTCCCTTAATTCCCTTCATTGGCTATCTGTGCACTCTCAGAACATCAGTAAGCTGTTTGGATTCTTACAGCACTCCTGACTCTTGATTTGTGAATTCCCGATCAAGTCTGCCTAATTTGAGAATCCAAAGTCTGAGTGTGAGAAAAATGTGGCAGAAAAGCAGACTCGATCTCAAAACTGCCTAAGACTGCTTTATTAGAACAGTGAGGAGCCCTGGCCTTTCTGTGGGATGATGGTTGAGCACATTTAGAGGGGATGAGGAACACACACACACACACACACACACACGCCACTCACACACATAATTATACACATACACTCTGTGTGTGTGTGTGTGTGTGTGTGTGTGTGTGTGTGTGTGTGTGTGTGTGCACGCAGCTACCAGGAAGTTACAGCTGTTTCGTGGTTTGACCAGGAGTGGGGTTGGTTGTTTTCAATACCCAGGCATATTGTTTCTGCAGGTGGAACTGAATGGTCAGCATGGGGCTATTCAATTATTTATGGCTAGGGCCTATTACTCAGTAAAACCTGACTCAATGCCTCATGACCTGAGACTATTACCCAACATGCAGTGCTTCAGGATCTGAGAACTTGGGGGCACTGACTTGATGATAAATCTGGAAAATCCAACACCATGTCATTTCCATGCACTATCCATTTCCATGCATTATCAAGACTTTGTTACCATACCAGTATTAACCAATGTGGCTATATGTATATGTTGTGGCAATTCATATTTAGACTTGAGCCCCATCCATAAGTTATTACCTATATGCAATAGCCCAAAACTTTCAGAAATACCCAAATTATGAAACTCCTGGTACCAAGCAATTCTGGATAAGGGAAATTCACCCTGTTTCTCTTAGATTGGAAGAAACAAAGGAATAGTATGTCCATTCTATACTCAAATGAGCAAATCCCTTGTGTTGGGCCTCGCATGGGATCTCTCATAGGCCAATGGGGCTAGTTTACTTTCAGCTAAGATGCAGGGCTGTGTGGTATGTACCCTTATAACTGACTGCTTTGTGCATACTGATCTTGTAATCTGTAGAAGTCAGTCACTTACCAGTGAAAGGTAGACAATCAGTCCCAGGGCCCCCATACCCTCACAATCTCACAGAGATGCTTAGACATCTGAGGACCTGACACCTGTCATTTATACAGTGTGTCCTTAGGAACATGGGCTCTGTACTCAGCTCCATGTGATAAGTGCAGCTGCCTCCTATTAGTCCTGCCCAGTCCTAGTTGGTCAATGACAAAGAACAGAAGTTCAGGAGAGAAGCCTCTGCCTGGGGACAGCCTCTTGCTGGTGCTATAGCAAAAGCTCTTGTCTCTTCTTGTTGACCCATCTGTGCTTTCATGTTGCTTTCTAAATCCTGGAATTCTAGCAAGCAATAGAAGTGTCACAGCTTTTTCTTCCTAGAAAAAGTATTGATTTCCTCACCTCCCATTGGCTGGTGGGTACATCAACTAGGAGGACTCTGAAGGCCTAGACTACAAGATGAGTTTGCAGACGGCTCTAGGTTATAATTGAGATTTTAGAGCATAAGGATTTGTGAGAAAATGCACTTTATTCCAGGTGGCTGCACACACTAGAGAACTGTGAGATCTCTCAGGACTGACAGAACTTTTCAATACTTAGTTTCTGCCTGTTTCAGAAGATGGGCTCATGGCTGAGTTTGGAGGATAAGGATAAGTGACTGATGAAAAACAGAGATTTAGAAAAAAAAAGTGATGGCTGATGTGATCATGTGATCAGCTAGGGGTATTTAGTGGAATCTTTTTGAGGTTTTTTGTTTGTTCATTTGTTTTTCTTTAAGATGTGGGATAACTCTGTAGCTCTTATTTGCCTGGAACTCACTATATCAATCAGTAGTCTGGCCTCAAACTCATAGATCACCCTACCTCAGTCACCTGAAACAATGTCTCTGTCAACAAGGTGGGTAATATAGTATCCTTTCCTCCATCTTAGGACAATGAGCCATTTTCCTTCCCATATCTCATGCTTCCTAGGCCTGATAGTTTTGTGTTAACTTGACACAAACTAAAGTCATTTGAGAGGAGGGAACTGCAATTAAGAAAATTTCTCTATAAGATCAGGATAGAGGAAAGCCTGAAGGGCATTTTCTTGCTTAGTGATTGACAGGAGAGGGCCCAGCCCATTGTGAGTGGTGCCATCCCTGGATTCTATAAGAAAGCTGGCTGAGCAAGCCATGATGAGCAAGCCAGTAAGCAGCATCCATGGCCTCTTCATCAGCTCCTGACTCCAGGACCCCGCCCTGCTTGAGTTCCTATCTGGACTTCATTGATGATGAACTGTGAGGTGGAAGCATAAGCTGAGTAAACCATTTTCTTCCCAAGTTTCTTTGGCCATAGATATGATGACAGCTATGCTACCATATTACTCACAGTATCTGGGATCTGTGGAAGTCACATATTCATGTGCCTCTTTTACAAAGCAAATCACTCAGTTTAATTCCAAACTCATCACTGGGCTTGATTGTTTATGCTCAATTGCCTTTTACAAGACAAGTAGGGTCTGTGATGAAAGCCCAAACCAGTAGTTGAGCACATTGGGGTAACATCAGAGTATGTCAATTCAGAGAAGAGCCACTGTTTTTCTCAGTAGAGGTATACCCTACTGACTGTTAATGCAGATAAAAGCACAAAAATGATGCATTCCTTAGAATTTTGAAAGAGGTATATATCTATGTAATCACCCCAAGCAAAAAAAGAACACACTTCCATCATCGTCAAATACATTTTATAGTCCCAGAGTTCCACTGTGCATGGCTATCTCTGATCATTGGGTCTTCTTCCATATTCTAGATTAGCCACAGGCCAATAAAGGTAAAGGTCTATGCTAAGGTCTAGGATATTTTCCTGTTCATTTCACTTGGTCCCTCTTCAGTTTACTTCTATTTCCCTAGGAACTGATCCGACACAGAACCCACCAAGGATCATGACTAAAAGCTTCTACATTGGAATCTCCATTGCCTTGGTGCTTCTACTTCTTGTTAGCACAATGGTTATCACAAGTAAGTAATTTTAAGATAGTTCCAAATGGTAGGATAAATGATAAACGGTAAATAATAAATGGTCATAGAATCCAAAGAATGTTTGCAAAGAAAAAGGTTTTACTTCTGTAGAAGGGTGCAAAGCCATTTTAATCCACTGAACAAGCATACCGTGGGGGTCCCACTGGGCCTTTAAGTGTAAATCAAGGGTCCTGTGCTCTAAATGCCCAGAGCTTGGCCTCGCATTCTCCTGAGACTGGCCCTATAAAGCAGTGCAGTGACTAGGGAGAATGGAGTCTGAGCATAGATTTTGATGGTAGGAAAATGCTTATTCCACAGCTCTTCTTGCCAATGGAGTCTTCCCACATTTCTTTCAAGATGGCACTTCCTCTGTCTTCTTTAGCCCTTTGCTAGAAGACAGTATGTTTCATGTGGGTTTCCCAGACCAAGGTACTAGAACAAGGATTCTCAGCCACTCTGACTGCCTTCCAGTAACTCCACATGCCATGGGGTTCACATTTCACATGACTCCTCTATATTCCCCAATCCAAGATACATACTGCAATCCCTTCTGGATCCCAGGGAGGTGTTAGGACATACTGTGCACTGAGATTGTTTCTAAAACTTATGAAATATTATGTGACCTTCGTTTTGAGTCACTACATGGGTACTAGGAGCCCAATCAGTGTTCTCTGCAAAAGCAACAAGTGCTCTTAACCACTGAGCCAAGTCTCTAGCTCCAGCCGTTTTTTAAATATTACTTCTTTTATTTTTTAAGAATATACTATAATAACATCATTTCCCCCTCACCTTTTCTTCCCCCAAGCTCTCCCATATATCATTCTGTCTCTCAAATTCATGACCTTTTACATAAATTATTACATGCATGAATGTATATGCATACATACATATATTCCTAAATACAACCTCCTCAGTCTATGCATTGTTCTTTGCATGCATGTTTTTTTTTTGTTCCAAGACATCGAACATGAGCTCATTATTGATCTGTTTCACATGACTAGATAGAAAACGGAGAATCAGAATATGCCTGCCTCTATTTAGATCTTGTTTATCTAAAATGATTAAGCTGACTCTGGTGGTATGCACCTATAATTCCAGGACTCGGGCTGCTGAGGCAGAAGAATCATAGCTCATGGACTATAATAGTAAGATAATGTTTAAAAGAGGGGACTAAAAATTGTAAAATAAATTACAAATACATTCCCTTCTTTAGCCCGACAATGTTTATTCTCCCCTGAAGGAGGGTGGTTACTGGGAATATAAAGATCTTTAACAGGAAGTAGGGGTGGGTGGGAGAGTAAGTGGTCCACACCTCCTAAGTTACACTAAGGAAGGAGTGAAAGCCAATATAGTGTCACTTTAGTGAGTGTTTTTAAAGGATCCCTGATGGACAAGATCATTAACAGGACCAGTGTCTCAGATCACCTTGTAGAGTCTATATTTAGCTTATTCTCCAGCAGCCAAATTAAAAACCGAGAGTTCTTCATTTCTTTCAGTGAAAGACAATTTACCGATGCCATTCTAGTGTGTTAGGGATGCTATGTGGGTGAATGTATCAAACCATGAATGAAGAGAAGATACTTCCTATAGGGTATAGGAAGGAACCTCCCAGGGAATGGTTCAACTAAAAACAGAAACAATATCCTTGATTAGAAGAAAAAAAGCACCACAAGTGTTTCTGAGGACATGTTCGATTTTCTTTTTAACCCCCCCTCCCTGCCTCCTCTCACCCAAATTTAGATTGCGTCTTTGTGAAAAAGAAGCCAGGATCTCTAAGGTAAGCTGGCTTGGCTTCTGTCGCTTGCTCTGGAGAACTTGCTATCTTGGAGATTTTTGTTGCTGTTGTTCTTTTCTCCTCCTCCTCTCCCCTTTCCTCCTCCTCTCCTTCTCCTCTTCCCATCTCTCTCCCTCTTCCTTCCTTCCCTCTCCCCTCCCATCTTCCTCTTTCTCCTCCTTCATTTTCCAGGCAGAGACATTTTGCCTGGCTCCTATTGTTCACCTTGGAGACTATAGTTCCCGGAGCCTCTCTTGTTACCGTACCTTCCAGGGATGTGTCAGCATTCTGATTTCCCTATCTGTGGGTCTGAACTGGTACCGAAGGAGCTCCTCAGCTCTGACAACTTGTTGTAAGTGCTGAATGGTAAATTTTGGTCTTTGGAGCTGAATTGAATGAGTTGCTTTGTGCAACAAATGCACTTATCCCTAAATCATGTCTCCAGCCCCAAATCTTGGGTTTGTATTATTATTGTTGTTGTTGTTATTTATTCAGAAACACCAAAGAAAATGTAACATATAAAAAGAAAAATAAGCTGTTTGAGGCCAGCCTAGACTTCTAGCAAGAAAAGTAAAAACTAAACTAGTAAAAACAAAAGCAACAAAACTAAACAGGCAAGTAAACACAGTCCACTTCTTGACAAATTGTAGGAAAGCTTTGTCCACATTCTCTGTAATTCTCAGAGGAGGTGTGTTCTTCATGTGCCTGACTATTCGTGCTGGTTCCACATTTCAGTAATAGAGACGGCCACTGTGTACAAATGACAAACTCCACTGTGTTGAAATGCCACCCATGAGTTAAAGCTAATCTGTTTTCTTCTCTGGTTTGCCCCTCCATGAGTTCTGGAAGCTCAAATGTCAGTCCACTGTGCCTACCCTGACTAATAGGGATGCAGGATGAGCTCTGCAAGTGAAGCCCCTCCCACAGCTGAGAGCATAGCTGGTGCCCAGATACTAACAGCGCTCTCCCAAAACTAATTCCTTGACCTCAAATAACCGACAATTTTGGGCTTGTGTCATATGCATGGCATACATGTAGTCTTTGAAACTGTGTCATAGACCGCCAGCTTTTGTGAAAAGGCGCTGTATTTTTCTATGTTTTTGTACTCCATGCTTAATGTTAGGGAATGTAGATACTATGCAGATTTCAAAACCCTTTCTACTTTTAAATAAGAATTTATTAGTGTGTGTGTGTGTGTGTGTGTGTGTGTGTGTGTGTGTGTACAGGTTCCATGGCATCTGTGGAGGTCAGAGGACAACTTTGTGGAGCTGGCTCTTTCCTTCTACCTTTATGTGGGCTCCAGGGATCTCACTCAGGTCACGAGGCTCTCCTGACCCATTCTAAAGGGTCACAGTGCAAAGCTGTAAACACAGCCATCATCCTGTTCCAAACACAGGTCCCACATACACATCGTGACTAGGTGGTTTGATGTTAGGTATGTGTCTCTTTGGATCATCCACTGTTGAGTTCCATTACATGCATATCCTGATGGATGCCAATATGAACTGATATTTTTAAAATAATTCTTAGTCTGATGCCTATGAAACATACTTTTCTATGGCTTAATACTAGGGCCCTGTGTGGCTCTGTTCACTGTTACAGTTTTTGTGAATAGGGCCCCTCAAATCCCCAGTGTACATCATAAGTAAAAGCTCTGCTCAGCCCTGAATGGTGATGGTGACCTCAAGTTATTTTCGTCAACATCTCTCTCTCTCTCTCTCTCTCTCTCTCTCTCTCTCTCTCTCTCTCTCTCTCTCTCTCTGCAGCTTGGTAGCATTCCGTGTCTGTAAGATCAGAACTTTACAGAACTCAAAGAACGTGCGACCACGAGTCCAGGAAAACATCTACATTATTGAAGACAGTCCTCCTGTCAAAGATTAAGTTGCAGTGGAACACAGCAACGAGATGTCACCAAGCTGGACACCCCTTTAAGCTCCAGGACTATTTTCTGTGTCGGTTCATCGGGTGTTCCTGCTTTCCAGCCATAGTGAAGAAGATGATCCTCTGCCTGGCCAGCCTCACTCTCACTGTTGAAATGATGTCCAGTCTCTCCACTCACCGCAGAGCCTTTTTCAACATGAACACTTTAATAGTTTGGATTTCCTTTAGACCCCACAATTCTTTTGTCCATGAAAGAAAAATCATTGGTAATGGAGGCCATTGACTTCTATGTTGTTTACTAAAACCATCCAGCAGAGAGGAAATAGGATTTAAAGATAAAAATAAAATAAAACGAAAGTGGGGAGGGTGAGATTTAAGTTAGAAGCACTTCATGGTTATGTCTTGTCTACTTAGTGTAACTCAAAACGTCACTTATCCTTACTATCTCCAAGGGGCTCTAGTCATGGAAGCTACAGGTTTTACTTTCCTCCATAGATGAACAGAAGAGAGACTAATATCACCATTAGAGGTGTGCATACTTTCTCATGGATCTTGAAATATGATTTGTGGTTATGTGGCTAATCTTAGGATAAGGATGGGTGTTGCATGTCAGGAGAGGTTGCCTTGGTGAGAATGGACCAGGCAGACATCAGGGAAGAAAACAGTGGACCAAGGACTGAGTTCATTAGTGCTGTTTCCACTGCAGTCTGACTTGGTGCTCAGTGTCCTGTCCTCACCCACTGGACTCTGAATTAGGTGCTGGAAGGAGACAATGCAGACATGAAGGGGAAAGGGGGAGCAGGACCCAGGCTCTCTGCCTGAGAGAAGTCCTGTTCCAGGGGTGACCGGGTTTGGAACTATCACTGGTTTCATTCATGGTTCTAAATGTATAATTGCCTCCAGACTTAAATTTATTTCAGAAAGACAAAGCATTTTTCATAGTAGATCAGTTTATCACAATTAATGAAATATTTGGTTTTTCTAGAGTTAACAAAGGCTGTTGTATTGACATCTTCATTAACAGTTTGGTTGTTGAGAAGAGCAGATTTTCAAGAGGATATTAATGTCTATTTCAGTGTGAATAAGTCCTGACTCCAGTTAGAGACACTCAGCCCGTAGGAGAGCAGGATGCTGGATCTCAGTCCACAGTCCACTGCTGTTCTACAGAGTTCTAGGAAATAAACATGTGTCTGATTCGGGATTTCTTGGGGAGGTCAGATAAGGAAAGTTCTGTTGAATGTTTGTTGAATGGGGTTTCCTCACTTGCTCTAGAAATGATTGTATTTAAACAACAGTGTTTTCTTTTTCTTATGCTTGAGGCACTTATACACCAAAGCAGGGCTTTAGCTTTCTGCCTCCTTCCTGATTCCTGCCTGGTGGGTGCAGGGCTCTGAAATTGTGATGCCTGCTCGGTTCTTCAGTCTCCCTAGAGATGCATGGTAGACATGGTCAGTCTGTCCCATTCCCTAAACCTGCTTGCAGTCAAGAACATGGCACTAGCGCGTTCTGTGCAACCGAATATATGGGATTCAGTGGAAAACAGGGCTCGAATCCTAGCACTGAGTAACAACAGTAGTAGAACTTCTTCTGTGTTCCTATTTCTCTCCATCTGTCTAATGTTACCATTTCCACGCTGACCTTGGTGTATAGTGGCCATTGCAATGAAATGTTACTCATGAGAGTTTCTGAAGATTTGTAGGGATGGCTCAAGAGGGTATACTGCTCTTGCAGAGGATCTGAGGGTTCCCAGCACCCACAGTAGGAGTTTTATAACTGCCTGGGACTCTAGCTCCAGGGGATGTACCACCTCCCTTCTGGCCCTGTGGGCACACACTGGTACACAAATACAAATAAATCTCAAATGAAATTAAAAAATAGTTCTTTAAAGATGAAAAACCTACAGAGTGAGAATTTTCCTCCAGTAGATTCCACAATAATAAGAGATCAGGAGTTTTTGTTCCGTAAATGACTTAACTATTGATACATTCATAAATATCTTATGTGTCATCTTTCTTTAAAAAGTTGTTTTCTGCCGGGCGGTGGTGGCGCACGCCTTTAATCCCAGCACTCGGGAGGCAGAGGCAGGCGAATCTCCGTGAGTTCGAGGCCAGCCTGGGCTACCAAGTGAGTTCCAGGAAAAGGCGCAAAGCTACACAGAGAAACCCTGTCTCGAAAAACAAAAAACAAAAAACAAAAACAAAAACAAAAAAAAAAGTTGTTTTCCTTTGAAAAAGTTCATGTTTTGTAATTTTCTCACATCATGGGAAAAATTGTTAACTCAGGGGATTAATAGGATGGAAGGAGAAAAATTTAGTTAATGTGAAAAAAATTACCATATATATGTGGGGGGGGTTGGTTTTTAGCTTCACCTTGTTTTGTTTTCTTGAGACAAGATCTTACTAAGTAACCTCTACTGTCCTAGGATTTTCATCTGTAGAATAGGCTAGCCTGAAATTCACAGAGACCCGCCTACTTCTGCTTTCTGAATGCTGGGATTGAAGTTGTGCACTGCCTTGCCTGGGACAAGCCTTGTTTGATCATGTTGAATGGTGTTTCAATACTGATCTCTCAAGACACTGTCAATTCCATTACCTGTACTCTGCCTTGGAAGAAGATAGCTTCAACACTTGATCATTAATAAAAATGCAATATTCAGAAGCTAGACTTGTGGCTCAATGGTTAAGCACACTAGCTGCTCTCCCAGAAGATCTGGATTGATCTCCAGCACCTACAGGGTAACCCACAATGGTCTGAACTCCATCCCCAGGGGATCAGACACTTTCTTCAGACATCCATGGAAACTACAAGCCTATGGTGCACAGACGTACATGCAGGCAAAACACCCATAAGCACCAAATAATAAAATAATAATTAAAAAATAAAAAGTATTGTTTCTTTGAAAAATGACTTGCCATTTTTTTTCAGGTTCACCAATTCATTTGAACTAGGCATTTTCATCTTGCTATATGGAATATTCCCAGCATGTGGACAAATATGTCAAAAGCTGTCAAGGGTGCTGGGGAGATGGCTCAATGGATAAAAAGATATTCCCAAGAATGAGGACCTGAGGTTGAGTATAAGAACCCCCATGAAAAGCAGGATATGGCTGAATGTATCTTAACCACAGCCTGTGGGGAGAAAAGACGCAGAAGCAAAGGCATGGGTATCCTCTACACTAGAATTGTATGAGGTTAGCATGGTGGTATATGCTGTTAGTCTCAACACTTGGGAGGCAAAGGCAGGCAGCTTCCTGTAAGTTCAAGGGCAGCCTGATCTACTTAGTGAGTTACAGGTAGCCTGGGCTAAATAGAGAGATCCTGTCTCAATATATAGGTGTGTGTGTGTGTGTGTGTGTGTGTGTGTGTGTGTGTGTGTGTGTGTGTCTGTGTCTGTGTGTGTGTGTCTGTATCTGTGTCTATTTCTCTGTGGCTGTAGCTTGGTCTATTTCTAAGGTTTCTAGCAGTGAGATCAGGACCTGTTCCAGGTGCTTAGCTGGCTTTTGGGAACCTGTTCCCCATGCTGAATTACCTCGCCCAGCCTTGATGAAGGGGGAGGAGCTCAGTCCCACCTCAACTTGATGTGTCAGGCTTTGTTCAAGCCCATGGGAGGCCTGCGCCTTTCTGAATGGAAATGGAGGAAGAGTGGATGGAGATGGAGGAAGATGGGAGGTGAGGGAGAAGGAAAGGGAGAAGAGAAGGGAGAGGAAACTGTGGTCTGTATGTAAAATAAATTTTAAAGAAGTTAGTAAAATAAGAAATGATTCTATTTAAGTTAAATGTTAAGCAAACTTAGTGTAATGGGTTATTGTCTTTGTTATTTTCTGATTTAATCTTGGCTGACACTGTTACTTATATTCAGGGCTAAGGGATTGATTAGATGAAATCAGGGCCCTTTCTAGCTGAATGCAGACCATCAGCTCCCTCAGATTTCAGCCACATAAGGAGGAGCTGAATTCTTCCTAGAGTCAAGGTTGGAAGCTGTCCCAGAAGACAAATAGGACAGAAGAAGCTGACCTCAGGACACATTGATCAGGAAGGTTAATCTCAACTTACTTCTGGGTAGAGTGCTGCTTTTAAACTCTATGAAGTTATTTTCATTTATCTGTAACAGGAGAGAAATATAGGTGAAGTCCCATCTCATCATGTCATACATCTCGTAAGCTACATCTTGTGGGATTTCAATAAGAAAATGGGTCCAGAATGGTTAGTCCAGTGTCTGGTCACAGTGTGTTCTCAGTGTACATTAGCACCTGTCACCAAGACTGTCAATAAGGCCATAAGGCAGAATGAGAAAATGGTTCAGTCCTGCAGCGAGAGTAAACTGAGTCCTAAGTCCAGCTCTTCTGGCCAGTTCTGAACTCAGTAACATTACACATGCACAATAATTGAAAAAGTACAAATACTCTTTAATTTATAGATATACCCACACTTTTTAGGAAACACAACACAACCTCTCTCTGTGTGGGTTTCTATGTTGCTTTTTCAGGCACCTCTCTTTAACACTGAACGATGCCTGGAATTCAAGAACTGGGGTTTCTCCTCACAGTGATCAGCACACATAGCAACTTGTCTTTACTTGAACAAGTAACTTAGGGTCTGAAGGTGTAGTTCAGGGGTAAAGTGGCTTTTGTAGCATGCAGGAAGCCCCCAGTGCCACATCTGTAATTGCAACACTCTCTGGAGGTAGACGCAGGAGGATCAGAAGTTTAAGCTCATCCACAGTGAGTTCCAGGCCGGGGTGGGCTGCAGGAGAGACTGTCTCAGGAAAAAAATAACATTCAGTTTGATTGTACTTGGAGACCATCACCACACTCAAGACCTAAATACTCCCATCAGCCAAGGCCTGACACACTTTCATAACAGTGGTATATTCTCAGTTCTCAGAGAACAAGACATTGTGCACCAGAACAGGATGCTTTAGAGCATCCTTTCTCACAAATGCAAACGGCGAGAGCACATTGGGAGGTGACCTTTGAGGTCTGTTCTGAAACAAGAGAATACACCACCTCTGTCAAGGCCCAGCAGAAACAAGACAGGAACAGAGAACCCCCAGTAACCGTCTGTGTGGGTGGCAAAAGCAAAACTGTAACTAGAACAAGATAGTGGCCCCCAGTAAAGTCTGAGAGGTGAGCTGAGGTTGAGTCCTAACTTCCAGCAGGCTGCCCGGCCCAGAGCGTTCTTATGACTCCTTGACTGGAAAGAAGCAGCTGGAGCAGTGTGGAATGTCAGAGTTTGTAGTCTTCATCTGAACTTTCAGGATGGTGAGGTTGATGCAATTGTAGCAG